AATCACGAATCATTCACTTTGAATTGGGAAACCAGAAACACAGGTTTGCACAATGCCGGATGGATCAGTTTACTGACTCTGTACAATTGCATACTGCATTTTATGTGATCATTAATATATGATCAGAAAACTGCTATCGCGAACTGTATAAAACGAATGAATGGCTAATAATTCTGACACTACCTCGGTAACAAATCTGCTTAGTGAGTGATGTTGACCGCAATCTTTCTCCTTCGATGATTTCGTTATTTCTGGCGATGTCTTTGTTTTAATGATCACTGCGGCATGCAAGTGAACAGATGCAGCGAAATGATCTAGGGAAAATTGTGCAAACCAGTATTTTAGCCTCTCTATTCAAACAATTCACTGCTTGCGTTTGTGTGTGCGTGGCGATTCATGAATGAGTTTTCTTTTCGCATTGGAATTTGGAAAACCTAAAACCTAAAAATATTTCACTCATTTTCAAATCTCCCAACTTATTCCCATAGTTCTATTCAATTGAGAAAATGAAACTCACAACCAACTCGTTCGTGCGTGAATGCGCTTCCACGCTTCCTCGTACTTTAATTTTTACAAACTATTTCCTGTCTCTGATAATTTTCTGAGTTTTACTGTCATTATTACTCGTGTGTGAACTGATATCATCATCATCATCATCATCATCATCATCATCATCATCATCATCATCGTCATCATCATCATCATCATCATCATCATCATCGTCATCCGAATCACCATCATCCTCTTTGGAGGCGCCATGATTAGGAACAAAAACAGTCCGCGATTCCTCACGATCCATTCCTTTGCACATCACACCATTGAAATTTTTAGACCAGAAACAGAACTCTTTTTGCGTTACATCCCCCTGCCCTGCAAATCTTCCGAGCCTGAAACAATGATTATTGTCTGTCACAGATTTGCAGGTGTTCATGAAACCGCAAAAATCTCATTTGTGTTCTCCACAGCACATGATAAATTATCCAGGACCGCAGCTGAAGACTATTTGGGGTTCGATATTCAGGGTGGAAAGTGTATCATCCGGGAGAGGAACAGAAGATGGGACTGTATGCGTAGCCCGATTTAGTGACATGAAGATGGAAATCCGTTGGCGGCGGTTTTATAAGCATTGAAACAATTTTTATCGTATGAATTTCCGACATTCCTTACGGGCAGTAGGGGAGAGGGGAGGGAGATTTTACCTTTGTTCACCTTTCGTCTCCTTGTCTTCGAAAAATCAGCACAAACCTAATGTAGGTTTCCGGGGTTGAGTGGGTGGGTGGCTGTGTGTGGGGAGGGGGGACGAAACGAATCGCATATGATGATCATAGCCATCAGTCTATCCTCACTACACCACTTGATTTCACCAACCCCGATTAGGCCGCTCAAAGGAGCATTAGATCAGTTACTTATCTGTCCATATACAAACGTCCGAATCGACGAAACTGATGGGGCGAAAGTCAGGCCCATATTTGAGACACATTCGAGTTCGGTGGAACTGTGTGTGTCTGTGTATCCGTGTGTATGTGTGTTTGTCTATGTGTGACTGAACACAAGCACGAGAACTCCCGAGCAATCGGTTCGTGAAGGCAACCAGTACCGGTGAGGGTCTCGCATTTACCAATAACCGGTTGCATTTATCTCAGGCTGTTTTCTGGGGAGCGGGAAAAGGGAGATAGAATGGATTAGCACAAAAGATGAATTTGACTATCTATCATCGTGCCGATTGGCGTGTTCCGGTCGAAATCAGCCTATACTGCATGATCTGTCCATTATGGCGGTTCAATAAATTCGTGCGCCACTGATTGTCTTCCGAGCGGTAGCGAGAAGAATCATAAAAAAGCACTTCTTTCAGGCAGAGACTCGGTAGACTGTTGTGTGTACTTGTCTGTGCATGCGTGTGTTTGTGTGCGTGTGTGTGTGTGTACGTGTTTTGTCAAGACCAGTCACTAGCAGCATGGAAAGCATGAATATCATTCATCAACATGCAGTAGAGTAGCGCCAGTTAATTTGTCGGATGATCATAGGGTATAACAACAACAACAACAACAACAACAACAACAATGCACCAAGTACGGATTGCAAATTCCCACTAGAAGATTCTTCTGGCCGCCAATCTGCTCCAATCAGAAAGAACCATTTTCCCGGATAAAAAAGAAAACTGTCAGACCCACACCACCTGGGAATAGAGAGAAACTTTGACGATGGTACTCTTGATGAGGAGACCAACAAAGGTTACTGGGCGATTGTTTCGTCCTCTTGGGGGCTCTTCTGTATGGAAACGGTTATTGATTTACAATTCCAGTGTTGTGAGACACTACTCACTTGTGAGTAGTACGCAAAATGATGCGATCGGTGGTTTCTTTCAATGACCAAAAATGAACAAGATCTGTTGGAGCAAACTGTTTCTATTCGGTATGTTGAATACAGTAATGCGCATCTGATAGTGGACCGTTCCATCAACTACTCTCTGTGTGTATGAGATATTTTGTTTTATGAATGACAATTTAACCATATCGTGACCGTTATTGGCAACAGTTACTGTCCTGTACCAAGCACCGTCAGTAGTTTGAATTTTCGGGTTTAATTATTCTCAAAAAATCAGCTGGAAATACTACTCTGGACCAGTGTGTTGGTTAAATATTTTCACACATTATGCAAGTCTTTTTTGGCCCCAACGACAAGGGTGCGTCGGTGACACTTTGGTGAGTGGCATGATGTAGGATGACAAGTTTGACTAATACTACTGTGAATAGACTACTCAATTTTTGGGTTTGATCATTTGTACGTTAATGTAACCATTCGCTCAGTGTTATTCAACGACCATGTCACTTGCGCGGGAGGGGGGGGCTGACTATCGACCCCTCAGGTGTACGATTCGAATCCCGGCTGAGATGCAAACATTACGCACTAATTACAAGTCCCGATAAGGACGAAATAGTTATCCCATGTTCTTTGTAGGTCACCACGCAGAGTTCAGACACGATTTACTGATAGTTGCTTGATCAACGTGACTGGTATTCAATTGGTTTTGATTTCTAGCAGAACAAAGTTTAGAGATTTTATCAAAAAATAAGTAAGAATACAGTGGGGCTTTGGTTCTTGGTCTGTTTATTCACAGTATTTTTTTCTTCTATTGGAATGTAGAAACGAGCAGCTGTGCTGTGCTGAAATACACACTCGGTGGGATGTTCGTGTTCGAATCCCACCACCACCGCCTGACTTCCCCTATTGTGTGGAAAATGACAGCCCTGTTTGATTGGCCGCGTTTCACTTCCTGGAAAGTGTACCTTTGTATACTAAACAAAAGGAAGTAAAAATAAAAAAAGAACTCCTCAAGGATATAAATAGTGTAACGTGATCAAAACTTTTTCATCCTCATTTCTGACCTAGTTGCCACAAATCGGATCATTCAAGCGGGCACATGATTGCTTCTTCAGTTCTGGCAAAGTACCACGGGTGTGCTGGACATGCATGGTGTCATTATTGCCAATTCATCCTTTCGGCTGACCCAGTATTGTTTTCCGCAAGCGAGTGGGGACACCACGAACGAAAAATTAGGTATCCCCGTGGTCAGTCACTCGTTTCAACCGGTGCACAATTAAATTGGTATTGCCTTTTGGAACTGATCTGTTACCATCTCAACAACAACAACAACAACAACGATATCGGGGTAGTCTCGATTCGGGTCGAAATGAAAGCTCAGTGTGTGCCGTGTTTTCCGGCAAACACGTTTTAATCAAATAGTTTGCCATTTTTATTTTATTTTAAAAAATAACAAAAATATCTTGCCGCGAAACGTGTTTTATTTTCTTGGGAAACGAATTTCCTCACCATCACCAAGGTATCCTCATTTTTCTATGTCCATTTACCTCAAGGTTATCATCGCAAATGTGTCCCCAATGGATGAATAAAATTCAGTCTTGGAGAGGCTTGATTTATACTTTCTGAGGTATCAAAAGATACAAGTTTTTCACCATGGGGTCCATCTCTAAATAACAGCAATTACACGTAAATACACCTTGAAGTAGTTGGCATTGATTACTAATTCTTGGAGCGCTCAACAAAGACTAGGCAGGCCGAATATTCTCAGTTCCATGAATTTTTCGTAAAACATGGGAAAAATAATCCCTCAAAAGGAGTGAAATCGGTACAGTTCCGTGAATGGTTGTTTCGAGCAAAAGGAAGTTACAGCGCAGTACAAACACACACTTTCAATTCCACTCAATTGATGCTGATCACTTAAATTGCTTGGTTTTGTTCGGAATCCAACGCACGGATCATGGACAACCGTCAATCAGTTCCGTATGCATTTCCCTGGTTAGCCATTGCTTGGGAGCTCGCCAGATTGATTGGGATAGTCAGTAGCCAAAAACAATGCGGGAGTGCGGAAAAAGGGAGTTGAGAAAACGCTTCATTGTGAAACACTCTACTCCTACCGTTCATTCTGTGATTAATGAAAGATAGACTATATTAGTCACAGCGTTCCAGTTGATTGTTGCAGAACAATGTGACTGATCACATTGGACACATCAAAGACAATTACCATTCATTCATCCACCATGGCTTATGAAAGCCTCAGTTTGGACGGGGGTGGGTGTCTCGGATTGTGGCTGGTCACCCTTCCCTGCACCTCGAGTGATGCTTCTATACGACCAAGCGTCTCAAAAAGCATCCGCTGAGGAACCCCTACTCAAAGCCTTCCCGCTGCGGAGGAGGTGTTTTCCCACCAAACGGAGGGGATGAAAAGCCAACATCCGGGGCTATAATCGGGTAGGTGAACCAGCGCTACCAGTTCACCTAGTAAAATTGGCTAAAACCCCTAATTCCAAACGAACCCAGAAGTGGCGTACGAACTGCACACATCAACATCTTTCCGGCTGTGACAGTGATCATCGGTTCGATTGGGTATCAAGGAGTCTTGAGCAGCTTGGAAGCTAGACCCCGTCCAAATGGCATACGGTCCGATGAACTGGACACTGGACCCCAGTAAATGGCGGTTTTCACACACCGCACCGCTGCACTGCTGGTCAGGTATTGACTATCCGCAGGCTCCGGTTGTGAATTTCCCAAATAAAATTCACCTGATTTGGTGTGGGCTACCTGACAGTATTTCATCAACATGCGAATAGTGGAAGTTTTTCTTTTTATAAAGATCATTGTAGTATGACTTGTTTGGCTCACAGTCCAACCTCAGACGTGTGTTAAATATAATAGTAACAATAATAATAATAATATCCATCATAGACACAAGTCTACAATTATTCATTCTCACCTGGGTCCTTTTGTGCCCAGCCGAGAGCATAATTTCTGCACCAGCTGTACCACTGGAACTGTGCTGTTCACCCGGTGCGTCTTGATCTGGACGACCTCCATCTGTCGTGATCATACGAGGTCCATTGGGATGAATTTGAGGAGGACTGGTTGCAAACGCA